TATCTAACTACTTTCAATAATGTATAAAACGAGGATGTTAATTTCAGTTGGATGGGTAAGGACAAAATATGAACTCGTTTTAGTGCAACAAAGGAGTGACGTTGGCAGATTTAAAAGTAGGAGTTTCTCTAAATAAAAGCCAGTCAAGAATGTTGTGCCGCTCCTTCATGTCAGGGATCGAAGTGCTTACCCGGATTTGTATTTTACATTGGATTGCCAAGTGGGAGAAGCAGGCGAGCCGAGTTCGAAGCCTGCTTGTCGGCGCTGGTATCAATTTCGATTTCAAACGCTCTACTTTCACTTCCTTATTGTTTATTTAAAAAAAAAGAAAAAGAATCTCATTTGTACATAAAAAGACGTGAAAAAGAGGTCGATGCTGCTCAAGTTTCTAACTCTTTTAGTTCTTAGTGCTCTCATTTTTTAAAAGCTGACACGTTTCTTTCTGACGAGAGTAATCATAGCTCTTCACAGCTTCCCTATCTTTAATATTTGTATATTGTACAGTCCTATGATAGCTGAGTGCGTTCCTTTTTTTCTTTTCGCGTCCTGGGTAAGACGATAAACTACATCCGTCAGCAAGGCCTTTGATCAGAAGGTTTTGAGGAGCGTTTAACCACATCTTAATTGTTGATGTTCATAGTTTTACCCTGACTCGAAGTAGTAACACCTGTCAGGGTCCCAGCTATGGGTAAATAATTAAACCCCCAAAAAGGAGTCAAAACACTATGAAAGTATAAAAATAGATTTTAATGCCAGCAATACATTTTTTCAAAAATTATTACCAGCAATGCAATTTTGAAAAGGAAAATTATTACCAGCAATATATTTTAGAAAAAAATAATAACAGCAATATATTTCTGGAAAAAAAATATTATTAGCAATACATTTTTTAACAAATATTGCCAACAATAAAAATCTTGTCGGCATTAAATAATCCATTAAGGTTGATATGCCGTAAAACAAAACAGACCAAACCAAACATTTCTTTTCTCCACAATTTTGAATTCTTGTAGTCTTTACATAGAATATTTCCCAACAAAATCTAGAGGTTTCAATTAACCTTACTGTTTAATCCATAATTGGGAGTAGGGTAAATATATATAGTCATCATCATCATCATCATCATCATCATCATCATCATCATCATCATCAATCACATGACCGGGTGTGATGGTAGGGTAGCTGCGGAGCTGAAATCTTGACCAGTTCCCGCCACATATCTATGGTTGAATGCCAGATAGGCTTCCAGTTATGCCCAGCGTATTTTGATTAAGTAGACTTAGCGAGGCCCATCGCTAATCCGGTTCAAATCCTAGCCGATATCTTGCAACTTGAAGGCTCGACGGACACGTGATTCTATCGGGGTAACAGTCTAGGAAGCCCTACGCCTAGCGATGCCATGTTATCAGCGCACTGGTTGTATTCTTAACTATAGAGGCCAGCTGTGACATGCAGAGGTTTGGTGCCGTTTGGTGATGTTCGGGGCCAATTCCTTGATCGTATGCCCCTAAGACTCAAGTGGGGGCCCTATATAGGATCGGATACTGAGAAACATGAGAAAAGAAGACATTTTAAATAATGTCAAAACAGATGAAACATGAAATAAACACTTTATTCAAATTAAATATTTTTATTTCACTCTTTAATTGGATGCCCAGGTCCGTTGCTCTCTCTGTCCCACTGGAGTCCAGCCTATTCATTGTGATCCTACAACAAAGTTCACAGCTTTTTAACATATCTTGTTTTGAATTCTGCTGGATTCCTAACCACCCTCCTCACCAGAAAAGCCTGGTGGAGGAACCGGTTTAGTAGTTGATGAACCAACAATGCAATACATAGTCCTATATCTACCACCTCTTGTTTTGCCTAAGTTGATACCTTGTAGGACGGTGGTAGAAATATTGTAGGCTCTTGTACGTGTTTATACCATCTCAACTTTCTCTTCTTGACAATAGATGAGGTCTTCCAATGAACTTGTTTCTTGTTTGATGGCGTCTCACATTTCATCATATGCAAGGCGTTCTACGTACGCGATATCTAGAATGGTTTGTACTATCTCATTTCGAATTCATTAGAAATTAAATACAGAGTTGAACCTGGATATTTTTGTACAAATCTAATAAAAGTCAAATTTTCAAGAGTGAAACTTGCCGACAACTAATGATAGTAATTGCTTGCAAGATAAGCCGTTATTATTACAGGTAAGGCGATTTTAGATCCTCACTCAGCTTGGTACAATTATGAGGAAGTCATTACTAATAATTACAAAAACTACAAACGCTTCACATCAAAGCGTATAAACATTTCTATTTCATATGATTAGTCGGAAAGATTGTGAGAGGATTGATTAGATGGTGGTGTATTATGTAACTCACTCCAGATGGTAACAGAATATACATTGATTCAATCCTACAACCTGACCATTAGAGAAGCCAGGTGCATCAGTGGGTTGACTTGAAGGATAACTGTCGGGTAGTGAAGAATCACCTGATGTCAGTGTCTGCCATGACATGTAATATATATATATATAGCTGACCCAACTGCACCCAGGATGTGTACATGTAGAAAAAAACCGTATGTGAGGTAGATATAAAAACACCCAGCCCAGAGGCTTCACACATCCCCCACGAAAATGCAGGGTTCATGTTCAGAGAAAGCCACAAAGCCACACACAAACTGTCCAATTATGATTGACGAATCTCGGAGTTAAATAAGCAATAAAGTTACGTATGAGAAATAGTGTTTCATAAGTAGTGTAAGACGATAATGTGAAGGTGTTGCTTTTCCTGCTTAAAATAACGACCATTCGCGTAGAAAGGAAAATGCATAATTATTTCAATCAGCAAACAGACCCAGAAAAAAAAACTGCCGTACCTATTTGAGTTTTAGATTGAGTCTGTATTTCTCATCAGCGTCAGGGTTCGAGTCCAGGTAAAAGCTACGATACCGAATTCTGATTTTAGAAGCATACAAATCGTTTCAGCTTGGAAAAAGATCTCACTTCAAATGTTCTATGGATAAGTTTTTTTTTTTTCCGAAATGAAAACAAAAAATTGCAACCTGCTCTTTAAAAATATTACCAAAAAATCCGATTCAAACGAAATTTTCAGTACTTAATCATTAAAGAATAAATTGTATGT